CTGGCTCCGCGTTAGACCTTTTTCTAAAGCTAATTGCATAGCCCGCACTTGGAGCAGTTCTGTCGTCACGGGCCGCTGCGCCGCTCGCTGCTCAAGCACATACTCGCCGAGCAGTTCTTCAATTTGCGGAAACCAACCCTGCTGTGGTCCACTGAAACCTTTGCGTGAAGCTTTGCTGTCGACAATCTTGTGCTTTTGTTTCCGCCAGTCCCGCACGCACGTTTTAGGAACTCCGTACAATCCCGATGCGGCCCGATTTCCATCCGTTTCTGTACACGCAATGACTTTTCTTTTAAAAGCGGCATCGTGGTGCACTCGAGTTTTTGGAGTCGACCCTTCTATGCCGTCGATGCTAATGCACTACAAAATGACGAACTCTTCAGCACACGTAAGAAGTGCTGCACATGGGAAACACATAGGCAGAAATGGCCGACGCGCCATGACGACGCACGTAGGGGGTGGCCATTTTGGAAATGCCGATGGCAATAGAATGACCATATTCATTTTTATTCGTACTCGATTCTAACGCGCATGCGATTTATGAACTCGCTTACCGGAAAAAAGGTGTGCGTTAGATTCGAGTAATTACGGTAAGCCTGGAAAGTCAAAGCAAAGACCAAGTACTCACCACAACACAGCACCATGCCGTGAGGTCCATCTCACCGCTGCCAACCAGTTGTTAAGGTTCGAGGTTCGATGGCAGGTATGGCGGGTGTCTTTACGGTAGCTGGCTCCCCGCTGTCGTCCGCATAGCCAATCTTTGCCAGTGAGGAGATGCGTTCTTCGAGAAAGAATGAAGGTTTATTTACATGATGGAAACATGGAACTGTATATAGATTCAGCAGAGATTCAGCAATGAGTACAACAGAGATTCAGCTCTTATTTATAAAATGACTTCGGCTTTTATAGCCCGTCGTTTCAATACACGTCAGTCCGAAGAAGGCGGTGACCACAGTGCCATAAACCCAAACCTGCCGGGCCAAACGCAACATGCCATGAACGCAAATGACTGTGCCATAAACCCAAAGTTCACAGTCATTGGCTGATTTCAGCATCGTGAGCTGCATAGCTACCATAGCCACAGCAAGATGCCACCACATGCCCATTCTCACGCGATCACACTGAAAGTAAGCCGTGCTTTTCAAGAAAGAAAAGAAATTGCTTGTGCAATGACGTGCACTGAAGAATAGACGCATATTTTTGCCCTCTTGGCATCTCCCCTAGTTTTATAGCTTACAGGGTGCTCGCTGGTACGAGAGGAGAGAGAAAGTGGATGCGACAAAATCCTGTAACACCGCTCATAATGGATGGATTTTAATCATTGTGCAGCAGCCGATTCGTGAGGCAATAAGCTCTTTTAATGAAACCTATTGATGATTACGTTGTAGTACCTCTTTAAGAGATAACAAATATTGTCAGCTTCAATGAGCACTGGTTGATTTTCTGGTATCAGTGATGGAGCCAAAATCATACTGCTCTTGAAAACTATGTTACTTGTGTATGTAAGCTGCTGGTGGATGTTTTCTGGCTAAAGTCATGGCTTTCTTTGTATGTGATGAATTTCTGATTATAGGATTTTTCATCAGATTACAGTATTTTGCTCATACTTAGGTATAGGCATGCAATGCATGTGTATGCCTATGTAATCTCACACTTGTGAATCTCCAATTAATTTACTACTGATTTTTCGTAGTTGCGTAGCTGTTCGAGGGATAGGTGTGTGAAACTTACTCAACTAGTGTTTGCTACTTTTTAGCTTTTTCTTGGTCATTAAATTCTCATGTCTAGTTATATGACATTCATCATATCATTAAAGTACTTAGGAATAAGCTTGGAAGTGTAAGACCTGTCTTGTTTCCATTAATGAAAGCACTGTGATTTTTTTTTTACAGCAGCAGTTCATAAGCAATATGGGAGAGATCGGGCGAGGGGTTCAATCATCCGTTGCAAAATCTATAGTATCTGTGCACATATAATGCGTGTGCAAAAATGTGCGTATATTTACATATAAGAGGGTGAAATTACCCCCTCCCCTCTTTTCTCCTCCCTTACATGAAACTCTTCCAATGCTCCTGCATCACTTTCAATGCAGAGCAGATGCTAATGTTTAAGGCATGCTAAATATTCATTTTATTGAAGCACATATATATAAACATGGTTGAGACCAAGACATAACGCTCATATAGTGTCAATGTATAGCTTCATTTGCAATTTAGTACCATCAGTATTGACTAATAGAGCGTCAATGTATAGCTTTGTTTACAATTCTGTACCATCAGTATTGTCTAGTCTAGCTAGCGGTCCAATGCCCTGCAAGCTAAATAGCATTGCAAGTTTCACTCGCTGTAGTGCTTTCCTGGAAATAAATATATTAAAAAAATGTTTCACAGTTATTTCAAATTAGGACATTGTGAAGGTTCTAAATGATGCCTAAAGTATTATGTGAAACATTTACATATAGCGCACGATACCTAAAGCATCATGCACTGTATGATTGCAATCACTCAAAGTTTATTCTGCCACAATTGTGATTGCCATGTTCTATCACAGATATTAGACCATCTGACTCATTTTCATAATAAGAAGTTATTTTAAAAATAGATCTGTTGTTTCAGATGTTGACTGTGACCACTCTGTATTACATACTCTACATTGGGAAGAGGGAGAAGAAACTTTATTTTGAGGAAAAGCAGGAGAATACATTTGAGGTCTCGGGGTACATACCTTGTGACTTTTGTAGTCAATGCCACAGTTTCCTGGTTGGCCAGCTTGAGACTGCGTGTGACTGACAGAATACGATGAACCTGAGACATTGCAACATTGAAGCAGCTGTTGTATCTGAGCTGCTCTTCCTTTGCCTACTGCAATATGTCTGATTCAAAGCATGCCCATGATGTTTGTGTGCTGCATGATGTGTGGCATGAGAGAAAAGTATTGCTGGTCCTCTTAGGCATCGAACATGTTTTGTGTATCATGACATAGTGCCTATGCGTAAATGTGTACTTTCGAAAAATCGCTAGAGCTTTAAGGCATGCTCATATTAACTGTTCAAAAGGCTGCAGAAGTTGGTGAGACTTGTGGCTGAAGCACTTATGGAACATACTAGTATGTGTGTTCTTAACATTGGCTGTAACCTTCTCGATTTTCCTATGTGGTGCACAACCAACATGTGCAACCATTAATGCGCAACCATCAGGGTTCCAATCAGCCTTGGTTGAGATCAAGTTATGCAAAGTGACTTTTCGCTAGTGGAAGCTTTTAGGCTTCTGTGGATCCCTCGCTAATGTTCTATTGCAGCACAGTTGCAAGAGTGTTAAGGTTGTTCTACTCTTCCTCAGTGCACAAGGCAATAACCTCGGCCAGGCAAACTTCATCTATGCTCTAAAAGAAGCTTCAGTTCTTTTTCATATTGCATCATACGACATCAAGTTTCATGCAAGCACTACAACATACATTCTCTTGCATCTAAATTATAGGTGTTACAGGGGCACCAATATATTTTTTTCAACTATTCATCGTTAAGTACCTCATAGTGATAGAATAAGTATTTCCAAGTCTTATAGTGCCTATAATAATATGCTTACAGATTTTGTACAGGCACTTTCAGTTTTTTTTTTCGGATGTCATACTGTATTGTGACATCTTTATACTGAAGGTGGTAACACCGGAGCACCACATTGTGATGGTTTAATGCTTTCTTTCAGTTGTCTTTGTTTTTTATACTGCTACACCGGCCTTTACTTTTGGCATAATTTTTGGTATAAAGTGGTGACAATGTCTATCTAATTATTTGTAGGATGTAAATTTAGGTATTTTTAAAATGAAGGTAATAATTCCATACCAATCGTCCCAACCGTGGCACTTGCCAAAAACCTAATTCCACAAAAAAATATGGATAAATGTACTATAGACATTATTTCTGCAGTATTTTCCCAAAATATTATTAGTGGCGGAAATTGTTCTGCATGTGACCACCATTTCAAGTTCTCAAAATGGTGAGAAACTAGGCACGAAAAAAAAAAAAAAAAATCTGTGAATTGACAGTTTCGCACATTCTTTCAGCACTTACTTTTATTGTATTGTTTAAGCATCATGCTTTTATTTTTGGACAGCTTCTTATGGTAGCTTTATATCTCACTTCCTAGCACTTAGGTAATGGGAAACACCATGTCTTCTAATTAACAGCGTGGCCACCAGAAGGGCAGTTTGTGAAAAAGGGCTCGAGTTCATTATTTCTATTTAGTTTCTACCGGAAAGCAAGGTTTTGTGAACCACTTTCAGTGCCCAGCTTTCAGTTTAGCCAAATATTACGACTGCAAAAGATTTGTTCAGTATCCCTTTAAGTAAGACTCATTTGCATCTGCAACAAATGCAATTGTCCATTTAGTGTCACATGTTGCCACTCAACCCATTTTCTCTGCTATAATCTTTGTATTACTGAAGCCTATTTTTCATTTAGATCTTTTAAAGACACCGTACTGTATCTAAGAAAAAATGCAATAATATTAATCTAAGGCCAGATAACTGTCTTCAGTAGGCTTGCCACTGCACACTCAGTGCTACTTGGCGCAACATTTGAGTTTGTTTGAGCACCTTTTCTCAGTGTAAGATGCTATAAAGCACATAAAATGAAACAAAATAATTTAAAATAGCTGCTTTTCATTTATTTGATAGCTAGGCAGCCAACTGAGGTATAGAGTCAGACTTTGTACTACTTGGTATCAACCCTTGCATTGAAGACAGGTGGCACCACATTTATTGTGAAATTTCAGCACATGAAGCTTGTGCATCTTGGTAAGCAAGAACTTGATAGAGTTGTCTCACTTATATACAGTGAAGACAATTGTCATGTTATACATGTGGCATAATGTTTATGCATACTGATAGTGATGTGGAACTGTGGCATGAAATGCATTATTAGTCAGCGATGTCTCTTTTTTTTAAGTCCCTGTCTGAAATGCATGACTAGGTATGGAATTAATAACGTTGCCCTTTTTTAGGCGTCCCCTACCAGCCTAGATGACCTGCTGCTACCTAAAACAATTGAATATGTTCCGGACATATATGCTATTGGGGTTCAAGAAGCTATGAGTGACAGGTTGGTTTTTTAGTGATTTTATGCTATGTTTATCTGTTTTTTTACTATTGTTCATTTATTTACTTCTTTAGTATTGATGCCTCCTTGTCTGTGGAGTGGTGCTGCTTCGTTTTGTGGTTTGAGAGTGCCTATTGTGTCTTTTTTCTCTTTTCTTTCTCTCTTTCCTAGAAAGGAGTGGGAAACTAGGCTGCAATTTACACTGGGTCCTTCGCATGTTCTCTTCTACTCTGTCTCTTTGGGTGTCTTGAACCTCTCCATCTTTTTGCGCCGAGATCTGATATGGTTTTGCTCAGGTAATCTTTGGGTGCATGTGGTGTCCTTTCTTCACTAATAAAGAGATTTCGTCATGTTTTATTCACTCTCTAAAAAGGTTTGACATACTCAAATGGCTATCCCTCCCCCCTTTTTGTGCATTGTTATGCTAAAGTTTTTTATTTTCTTTTTTTAAGCTGCTGAAGAAGCAACATACGCCACACGTACCGTTTCTTCTGTCAAGACCAAGGGAGCTGTCGCCATTGCTTTCCAGTTTTTTGGGTCTTCAATGTTGTTTCTCAACTCCCATTTTGCAGGTATATTTTCTTTGTTCAGTTTAGCGTAACACAATAATGTCAAATGAATGTTTTAAACGGAGTACTTGAGTAAAATTTTAACTATTTTTGTCAGATAGTTTTAATACATGCATATTTTTTGCCTAATAATAATGGCAAAAAAAAGGTTAAAAAAAATTAATGTCACCTCTAAAGCCATCTGAGGAGCTTGTTCAAAACTGTAGCACCTTAGGGCATAAAATTTAATCTTGTAGAATGGTGCACCTATGAACTAGGTAAGTCGTTATGGTGTTTTATGACAGTGACATCGCAGATAATTGTTAAAATAGAAGCTTGTGTGAGGGCAAGTAACAATGTTGCCTCAAAATTTTATTTTCTCTATGTCCATAAAGGGCCTCTCACTTGGTTTGCGCTGTAGTGCCAGGTTGCATGAGACAGACACATCTTTTCAGTAACAGCGTCTGCTTTATTGTGTCAGCTACAGAGTCGAAAGTAGAGCAAGTGCACGCAGTGCACCGGAAGTGGCAAGAGTGAAAGAGACAAAGGAGAAACAGAGAGGAGAGCAGCACGTTGCTTGAAATGCTTGTAAAGGAAGAAAAGGGAGCTCACAGTCTGGCCCTTACCCAAGACGCCCCGCAGGGTTTTTATGACCATGGGGGTGCGTTGTGGTGGACGTGTCGCTACAGGTTGCCTGTCACTTATGTTCGCCATGCGGTTAATTCATACAATACTACCAGTTTTGCAATATGTCATGTGAACGAAACCATCACAAGAGCAGCAAGACCATACCATGTAAATGACGACATTCATGCCATACATGTCATGATTTTCATGTTATGGCTAGTCACTTATGCTCGTCATACAGTCATGTTATGCCCTAGCAATTTTGGTATAGATCCTATTGTAACAGCCAGGAGAACTTAAGGTCGTAGGTGCCTAGATAGATAAACAGATAGATACGGTCAATGTCGCCGTAGTTCGCTAAAAAATGCTTCGCATTTAAAATACTGAACTGTTACATCTTCAGGAGGCAGGCTTCCAGGAGGCAGGCTTCACTGCCAAAGCAGGCGCTTTCTCCTTTTGCCTTGACCAGTGTCCGCAGGTGTTGCCGTCTTCCAACGTCCAAAGGCGACGCAGCGCGTTCTGTTCACTTGACGAGCTCCACACAGGGTTACCAGATTGGGCTATTGATAGCCAAATTGGGCTACCTTTTGTTCGAGTTGGCATCAAAATTTTCTCTTTGACTGTGTGGCTATTTTTGGGCAAAAAGTTACAAAGGCAGAGAATTTTACAACTGGGGATGCCACTTATGTACGCACAAACTTGCGTTTCTTTGTAATCTCAGCCTCCCCTATGGATATACAAAGAACACAAGGCCCGAAGAACTTGGGCACGCTGCTTGGGGCCTTGCCACCAAAACGTTCAAATGTGTTGAACGATCCCTGCACCTGGAGACACAGTCCAAGAATGGGCTTGACGTGTAATCACTTTGAAAATGTGTTTTGAGGGCGAGCGAGCACGGGCCCCCTTCCATCCCGTGGCTTCCCTTGATTATTCTGGGACTGAGCAAAAGGTGCCTTTAAATGTAGATATTAGACAGAATGTAGGTGAACTGAAAAAAACTATTTTAACTCCAACCAGTAAAGTACATGAAAACACGTAAAAAGCCGATGCATCGGAACCGACGTGGTTCCTTCGTCAGTGGGGACTATGGCGACATTGCAGCGGCATCTTGAAAGCACTTGCGCAGCAATTATGACCCGACATTTTGCCGTTGAGCGGAATCTGTGTGCATACACTGGGGGAAGGGTTCCGAGGGAACAATAAATGTTTGGGCTGTTCGCTGATTATGCCACGACTGAGTAGTAGTCTTCTTCTCCAGATAGTATCGCTTTGTAGGATGATTATTTGGTTAAAATTTATCTTGTCTAACGTTTCGCAATGTTTGGCAATGGTGATGCGCTCTTTGTTCAGTTTCAGGACATCCTTGGCGTGTTGGCAGAGTTGTTCTGATAGGTTTTCTGTCTTGCCAACTCACGAAGAAAGATCCTCGGTGCATGGGATTTTGTAAACGACGCCGGGAGTCTTGTCAATTGTTGACAGGTCTTTCGGGCGGGGGAGGAGGCAGCCCAGCGTGCATGAAGGCACGTGCGTGATTCACACCTTTTCATTTTGTTTGTTTATTTTTTCCATAGGCACTGCGCCATGCACCCTACCGGGCTGCAGAAATCAACCGCCTTTTTTTTCCCTCCTAACAATCACTGCCACTGTTTTTGAAGAGCCAGGCCTACGCCTCGCTAGTTCCTTGGAAGTACGAGACCGGTACGCGTTTCGGAGAGCTGCCAATTAATGCTGATTGGGGTTTGCGTAGCTTCTTTTGCTCTGTGTGGCGTGTGACAGATTGACTAAAGTTTTTCGGGTATTCGTTTTTTCTGAGGTCCACAGTTATGCGAGCCTCTTCTTTCCTGCCTTTCGTGTCATTAGAACATATGTTTTTGGCTTTCTGAAGTAACGTTGCCAAAACCGAGGCCTTATGACTGGCGGGATGAAGTCAATCATATTGAAGGTACCGTATAAACCGGAATATAAGTCGAGATATTTTCAATAAAATAATAAGCTAAAGTTGCCCCTCGTCTTATATAGCGATGTCCAGCCGAAAGTGAGCCGCTGTCTGGCAACATGTGGCTTGCTTGTGCTTGAGAAGCCGGACGCGGCCATATCCGCATCCAAATCCAACTACAGGCTGGTTTTTTTTTCTCTTTCCGTCTGTTTTCTTTGTGTTCGTGATTTGCTTCCGATCTGTTCTGAGTTTTCGCTCCGCTTGACATTGCGCTGCATTTTTAGTGGTCTTTTTTTGAGTAGCGGTGCGAGGAGGCAGTACTCAGCTGCGTTTAAACTAGATGTTGTTGAGTTCGCAGAAGCGAACGGGAATATGGCTGCTCAGCGCCGCTTTGGTGTATCGGAAAAAAGCATGCGCTATTGGAGGGCGCAGAAAGGGAAGCTGCAGATGTGCAATCCTCGAAAAATGTCGTTTCGTGGACGAAGTTTTCTTCATCCGCAGCTGGAGGATAAGCTAGCGGACTTTGTGCGGGAAGTTCGTGCGCGCTCGCTGCCAATGACCGTGGATACCATTCGCAAGAAAGCCGTGGAACTCGCTCGAGAAGCTGGGCTCACGAGGAAGAGTTTCGTGCACCAAACTCTTGGGTGTGTCGATTTATGCGACGCAAAGGATTCTCCCTCCGGCGGCGCACATCCATCTGTCAAAAGTTGCCGGAGGAGTTTGAGGACAAGCTCATAAACTTTTAGCGCTTCGTGAACCGGCTTCGGGAGCAGAACGACTACATGATGGGGCAGATTGGCAACGCCGATGAGACCCCCGTGCGGTTTGACATGCCTTCGTCGACCACGATCACACAGCGCGGCGCCAAGGATGTGAAGCTGTGGTCCATTGGCAACGAGCACGTGCGTTTCACCGTCATGCTGGCATGCACGGCAGATGGTAGACAGCTTCCGCCCTTCATCATTTTTAAACGCAAAACAATGCCGAAGGAAGTGTTCCCACCCGGTGTTGTCGTTCGCATCGACAAAAAGGGATACGTGAATGAGGCCATGATACTCGAATGGATAAAAGCTGTGTGGAACCGTCGGCCAGGTGCACTGCTGCGTCGTCGCAGCATGCTGGTGTTGGATGCGTTTCGTGGCCACTTAACCGATGCAGTAAAACGCGCACTCGGCGACGAGAAAACGGACCTCGCCGTGATACCAGGTGGTATGACGTCCACCCTCCAGCCGCTCGACATTGTGCTAAACAAGCCGTTCAAAGACCGAGTGCGGCTGGAATACCAAGAGTGGATGTCCGGCGACAACCCCGAGACACCGACGGGCCGCCTACAGAGGTCTCCGCTTGTGACTGTTTGTGGCTGGGTGCTTTCCGCCTGGCTTCCTTGCTGGATTCCATGGTGGAAAATGCTTTCGAGAAATGTTGCATCAGCAACTCACTGGATGGCACTGAAGACGACGCACTGTGGGAGGCGGCCAGCGACAAACTCTCGTCTTCAGAAGACAGTGGTGCTTCGTCGGACGAATAGGAGCAGTTGCGACGGTGGTTGAGGGGAGCTGCAACGATCGAGGTGCGGTGCGCCCAATTCGCAAATAAATGTGGTTCGGCAGTTTTGGGTTGTTTTCCTTTTTTTTCTTTTTCGGTAACCTGAACTTGGGAGTCGACCTATATTCCCACTCGACCTATATTCCCACTCGACCTATAGTCCGGGTTATATGGTAACGGCCGGCGTGCGTTGGCTTCCTGTGGACGGAGAACTTGCCATATTCTTGCCACTTGGACATCAAGAAAGGGCAGCCGCTTCCACAGTCGGCTGTGAATTGTATGGCCGGGAGCATGGAATTCAAGTGCTGTCTGAAGTTTTCAATATCAGATGTTTTCATGACACAAAAACAATCGTCTATGTAATGAAGAAAGAGCTTGGGTCGCCTCGGAAAATAGCTGACTGCTTTCCCTTCTATATGCTGCATGGTCAGGTTTGCCATTTTGACGGACATGGAAGCTCGCAAAGCGGCTCCACTGTTCTGCCTGAAAGTAGTTCCTTTGTAGGAGAAGTACGTACTAGGCAGGCATTCCTGTAGATGGCAGCGCTCGTCAACCACTAACGTAGTCATTTTACTCAAACTTGGGTCACCCTCAAGCGCAGCATGGGCAGAGGATACCGCTTAGAGTACTAGTACATCGGTGATGTAAGAAACAACATCGAATGGCAAGGGAGCGCTTGCCAAGTCCCAGAACGAAATCAAAGAGAGCAGTGGAAGAGCCTCTAAGAAGAATGCACACTTGTGTTCCTTATAAAATACTTTATTGAATACACATGCATATACAGTTTTCACTGGACCAGAGGGAATCTGTGTGACATTTCGCATCATATAACAAAAGGGAAAACATGTATTTCCAAATATTCCAACAGTGTTCGAAAACTCAGAATGCAGCCTCAAGGCAAAAGTACTGG